TGTGTGTTTAATGATTCTTCCGAGCCGCGATGATATCATCCAATCATCATCGTGAAGCGTAAAATAATGTTGACCGGCAGTTGTTAGGCGGTCATGGGCAAATCGCGATGGTGGGTGCATCGGTTCGGTGCTTCTATTTAATATTTAGCATGTGTCAAACTGCGAATTATACAACTCGTTGGAACGACGGCCCGAGTTGGCCTTGCAAGGCACTTTCACGTACACACCACATACACACCCCGGCCGAAACGTCAGAGTACGGTAACCCGGTGAGGACGCCATTTGCATGAGAGTTGTCGTCCACAGCCACTACAGCCAAAACAACTGTGTGGTGGGAACTCAATTCAATTCAGCTCAGCAACAACAGTAAATTTAAATTTTGGGAGGGCCTTCCTTCGGAACCATCGCGCACAGCGTACAGCAGGGTGCGACAGTCCGATCGGGTCCTGACAGGAATGGCACTTGTGCTGAAAATCCCGACAGGCTTTGAAAAATGCTTTCGGGCGGACCCGACGAAAAAGGGGGAAAATGCCAAACGGCCATCGGGAGCCCCCGACGGGGCCCGGAGGGCTCCCGTCGGGGGACCCGACAGGGTTAGGGGCACTAGGACCGCCTGATCGGGTGCCGTGGGTCGTCGGCAGTGTTTTTTTTTTCATTTCTGCCGGTTAATTTTCCAGTCCGAACGTAGGAATAGGTTTTTAGTCGCGGGAATATAGGTATTCCGAATCTGTAAGGCGCCCCCCCCCCCGATGAGTTACAGTTTAGTTCGTGCAATCGCCGGGTTTGGGGAATGTCGCAACACGCGCACACCAATCTCTCAAGCACTGATCGAATAGAGTTCGTTCATCATCGTTCGTCTTGCATCACGTTGAAAGATAACACTACACGACTTTCCAGGTTGCAGAAGTAATGATGCATAGCAGCAATGAACCGGAACCACCAAACGCAACCTGTTTCCTGGCCCATCGCGATTGTATCCATATGAGGAACATTGATGTTTGGCCCGCTCGCTGTTGACAACCGGAGTGGCGTCATTGTCGTCGGCTGGCTGCAGCATTGCGTCCACATTGCCTACGACCCCTACACCGTCTTCATTAACGTCGCTAATGGCTTCAGTGAAATTTAACATCTGCTTTAATGGCCTTCAATGCTTTGGGAGCTTCGGTTCCGAATGTTTTGCAGCGTTTGGTCCGGTCAGAAACAGTCCGATTCCTCGTTGACTTTCGGGCGTGAGCTTCCTAACAGTATCCATGGCATTAAAGTACTATGATATGGGTAACATATATGTCTCCTGTAAAATTCTAGCGGCTTTGGCATGGACAGTCCATTTTTGGCTGGAGGAATGAACTTGTACGGTTGGAACCTTATTTATTCTTAACTTTCAGGAACACGAACATTTTTTTATTCCGAATTCGGAATATATTCCGGAAAAAAATAACGCTGTACCAAACCCACGACGAGCAAAACCGGCACTCAAAAGGGCTGAAGGCCTGCTCCCCACTGTCGATGAGGATGGAGGGTTCGGTTTACCTGGAACTGCAAAGTCAAAACTTTAGAAACGGAGAAAGGGCAAGGGAGCGACGTTAGCATCGGAAGCAGGTACTGAGGGTCGTACCAGAACTCGACCCGACCAGTTAACCCAGCAGAGCCACGATGCTTTCCTATCGCAGCAACAACATCGTACAGGTGATAACAAGTGTGGTACGAAGCTGAGTCATGCCGAACAGCGAAGAACGACACTTATCAGCAACCCACTTCGGCAACAGAAAACCACCTGATGTTGAATGCAGTGCAGATACTCCTGAGCGCAAGCAGGAGGCGGATGAACGAAACCGTGATGCCCAGCACAGCTGGAAGACAGAAGGCTGTGTGGAGTCGAACTGAATTTGGGGCACATAACTAATCCAGTCATTCGCTGAAGCTGCTCGAATTCAGAAGTGTGGAGTATGCGAGTGGACGGAATAAGTGCAGAGACAATCGGTGCAGAGGCAATTAGTCTTTGTGTTACAGAATCGACGAGGCTCAGCAGTTCAGAGCCGCAAAGACAGCAGCATCCTGACACATAAGCTGCACTAGCGACGAGGTCCGCGCAGACGAAACGGATTTGCCATTACCAACGAGGCCGTACCCAACGGGGTAGGCGATAATGAAACAGCAACAGGTGAACGAGACGAGCCAGAAGCGGAGGCTCACAACTGGGGATGGGGCAGTCTTGCACACAGGATGTACTACCGCCAACAGATGTGCCCAACTGTTTACAAAACTTAGCCCCCCCCCCTAGTTGTCCTTGCAATAATAAAAGAACTTGCCAGCGTTTCTGCAGGCAAGCAGGACAGCACATGCTTGTCGCACATAATCTTGTTACGACCTTAGACTTGCCTCAACCGCTGTAGTTATTTTTACTGAAGTGATACCATAGAGAATGACTCTTCCGGATTCCAATCAGGTTCAAATCTAAGCTATGACGGTTATTTTGGGCTGGGATTCTGGGATTCTGTTCTCCTGG